CGTACCACAGTTTGAGAACCACTGATTTAACAGATTATTCTTCATAAGAAGTAAGCAATCTATGTAGATTCCATTACTGTAAACCCTCACTTTAAAGGACTTTGGATTTAACAGACAAAATATGCTAAAGGAGAATTTTGTCTGTAAAATCAGAAATACTGGACTTTCTCTGCAATACGTGAGAAATGCACTGATGTTAAAACAAGGAAATAATAAATATTACATAAATTTAAAATTCAATCTCCTACAGGGGTAGTCCAATTGCTTACAACAGATGTTGTGTGTTTCATGTGCTTAAGCAAACTTTATACCGTATATTAATTACATAAAATACAGTGTATTTTTAAGAAAAAAAAGACAGGAATAATTTTCAATGACTGTGTTGATTGGTATTGTTCAATATACAAGTAAAAAGATTCAGAAAGTATATAAATCTACACACTCATATAATATTTACGGGGCTGAACAAAAAAAAAAGTGATTTAACAGACACCCCTTCCCCACTATTAGTCTGATAAACTGAGGATTTACTATATCTTTACTTCCAACCACAAATCAGTTTAGTTCAGAGAAGGGAATAATCATAATTATAATAACTGAATTATAATTGTTTATCCGACATTTTAGATTTTTATCAGTGCAATGTTTATCATCAGCCCCTATAAGTCAACACAGGGGCAGACAAATGGAAATATATCCTTGCCACCCCAGTGGGACACACCTACCTCTCCTCTCGTGGCTCAGGGCTGCTCCGCGTGGAAGCTGACGTGGGAGTGGGAGGTGTTGGCTCCTTTTTCTTCTCTTCTGATACCTTCTCACCCCCTCCTGGTTCATCTGTAAATAAATCAAAGGGGGAAAAAAAAATTAAAAAATAATAAAAATAATTTATTGTGAACAGTTATATTGTAAAATTAAAAACACCCAGATGGCACACTGGCACAATGATTATCACTGGTGCCTTGCAGCTCTGGGGTCCTGGGATCAATTCTGGATCTGGGGCGCTATCTGCACAGGGTATGTATTTTCTCCCCCTCTTTATGTGCATTTCTTCCGAGCTTCTCCCACGGTCCAACAATATACTGGTAGGATCACTGGCTTCCAGGAAAACTGGCTCTGGAGTGAGTGTGTGTTTGTATCTGTATCTGACCCTGTGTAGAGTCCCATCCAGGGTTAGCCCTGCCTCACACCCATTGCTTGCCAGGTTAGGCTCCAGCTCCCCTCAACCTTGTATTGGTCTACGCTGCTAGATGATGGATGGAAAATTTCTGGATTCTTAACATAGAGGAAAATTGTGTCCACTGCATCTAGTGCTAAGTAGTGCATTGGCCTTTTTTCCTTCACATGCATAAGCTTACACATTACTACAAATTTGACTGGCCATGGAATGTGGATAGAAGTGTCGCCAACAGCAGATAAATGTCTTCTAGAGGAGTATATGATAATCATTTACATATCATCACCATTTTTAAAGATTACATTAGGGGTTGCCATTAAAACAGGAAAACCACATATTTATTTTCCAGGGAAAACATTCCTGGTCTATGCTGACCTTTACTCTTCTGTCCAAAGAGGACAGCATTCATAGGCACGATGGTAACCCAGCCCACACCCCATACGCTTCGTAAAGATGGGATAATCCCAGCTCTGCTTTGACTCCAGCTAGTGGACACCTACTGCTTATGTATGCGCTTCTTGAGTAATCAATGTTAAAACCCAAGATCCTAGTAAATCATTTTCCTAGTAATCTTTTAACAAGTATTGAGTTATGGTGCATAAACCAGTGCAGTCCACCTCTGTCTGTATACATACAAATACCACATTTGTCCAAGAAAAAGCAGATACTTCTAGAGCAGGGGTCGGGAACCTACAGCAAAGGGATTTTTAGTGACACCCAAAATAAACGCATCATGTGCAATAAAAGTCTATTAAGCCACAAAGAAATTAAACTAAAAAAACAATAAAAACTATCCTTGACTGTTGACTGTAATTCTCTTCAACATGCCACCCAATGAAAGCTCCTTAGAGTAAAACTCAGTTTATTTACTGTGTTATTTTTAATGGTACTAGCTTATTTTCACAGAAAAGCTTGTAATGTGTGCCAGTTTATAACATTTTTTACACTTAACTGTAAAGTCAAACAAATTGGACAAAATGGCAGCTGCTTACAAAGGATATTAAATTGGCTCATTTCTATCATTTTGAAGAAATGCATATGGATTTGTTCAACATAAACACTGAGCTATTTGTGCTGTATGTTGTACTCCGAACTCCATGATGAAAATGGGATGCAAAACTAATTCTAATCGACTGGTTTCTAGTCGACATGCATATGAATGAGCTCAACCTCCGTGGAAGGCATTTCTTTCAAAATCTGACATTTTTTCTCGGGACACCTACACCTCAACCTTCCACTATTTCCAACATCTTAAAGAAATTCCAAAATATTGTACAATATGTTTTGCTAATTTTGGAGTGTTCATGTGTGAACTAGTATAAAAACTATATTATATATTTTTTTTTATTTTCTGTTTAAGCCAGATAGCTTTGGCCCAGTGTTTTATTTTCTGATTAAACCAGACAGTTTAGATACCAGCAACATGGGTTTTTCAGCATTTCAATTAGTGTTTAGGATTTTGAAATGCAGCTGATTAAATTGCACTGCACAGACTTATTGAATGTTGGGGAATTGCAAAACACTCTTGAGGCTACTAAAAGCGATCACAATGTCTCCATCGTGACCTGCTGAAAGTCCTTGCCAGTGAAATGTGACTGCTTGAAGAAAGTGTCATTTTCACTGCTCCCAGCATTTGGATCAACATACCTCTGGAAACAGGTGTTTTCCTACATAAAGTCAGTTTTTTGTCAGTCCCATAGCCAGCTAACTACACAATACTACTCTTGCGTGCTGCTTAAAACGTTGAGCTACGACTCCGAGATTGGAGAACTCAGCAATGGAAAGCAAGACCAATTATTACACTAAATGGTAAGGCATGCATGTTAATTTATTAATCTTAGATATGGTTATATTTTAATATTTTTTTTTATTAATCAAAATGTAAGCAGGTTATAATTCACATTAATACAGTATTGATGGCACACAAATCTACAAAAACAAGTGCATGTGTTAATTCATGGCATACCCCTTCTGAGAGGCTACCAACCCCTTTTCTTCAGGATAGGTAGTATATACGTCCTCATGTTCCGTATTACAAGATTTTTACTTGCTTTATTTACTTCATAAATGTTATATGAATTCAAACCAAATGTGAACATTTCTTCTATTTTTAAGGTCACACTATAAGAATTATACCATATATATGACTGCAGCAAAAAATTAGCGGTTAAACTCATAGTACTCAACCCAGTATGGACATAAATACAGTGCCCTCTCCTGGTACTATAGGCAAACAGCTTCTCAAAGGAATATGGTCACAAGGAAGCAATAAGACCCATCATCCTGCCTGCTTGGATGTTAGAATGTCAGATTTCAGAATGTCATCCAGCTCTGACCGGCAAAGTTCTAGAGAGGCACCTTCGACAGGACTGCTGGGCAATCTGTTCTAGACTCTCTACCATGTCACCACGTTAAACAACATCAAGCAGATAAAAAAACACGAGACTGAAAGGACCAGATAAATAGGTAGATTCATTGTAAATGCTAATGTATTCTTTTTCTGTATCTGCAAAGCTTTCGTTGGCAGGTGATTTCTTATCATGTGCACTCTTATATGGATTTATTAGGAATTAACCAAGGATGTTTTGTTTATTTTTGTTTACCTAACAGCTTCTTCCAGGATTTGATGAGCGATTTTGCAAGTGAGGTGACCTCTTCATCTGTGCTCTGTTTCCTAATAGCATTCACAGACATTCCAATCCTGGTAGACTGCAAAAGAAAGCAGAAAAGACTAAGTACATTGAAAACCTGAATGCTACAAGTTTTCCTTATGGTCTCACAAATTATCATAAGAAAAACGCCCTTAATTAGGCTTTACTTCTTTCTTATGCTCAAACTGAAAATGTTCAGCAATGTGGGTCCTACAGCGCAAATTCTGATCAAATTTCTGTACCACAAAAACCTAACCACTATTAACAATGGAAGGTAAAGTCATTATTACGTGTAACTTTCAGCAGAAAATTGTATAACTAGATGGCTAGGATTGTTTTTTTTTTTTAATAATTGATATAACATTTTTAATTATTTTAATGTAGATTGCAATTTCTGGCAGCTTCTAGACAAAAGGTTCTTTTCTATGTTTACATTCTAAGGCTAATGTTTATTCACAGGAAGTGTTCATATTGCAACATACTCTTAACTGCTGCAAAAAAAACTTTAAAAGTTTACCTGTAGTAACTCAAGAGTCATGGGAATGTTCTTTAACTCCTTCAGCAAATCCAAAGCTCCAGACTGCATCAGAAAATACATGGTAATATGTTTCATGAAATATAACTTCAGTTTTGTAAGTAAACAAAAGCACATTTGAAGTAAGTAGAATACATGAAAATGCTTAAAATCTGAGTATATTTTTGGCAATCCTTCTGCACTGATCTGAAGACTTACAATTACATTAGGGAAAAAACAATTTCCATTTCTATGGCCTTCTTGATCTATTAAAGGAAGCAAGACCTATAGATTTGGATGAGGTATACAGCCTTAGAAAATTCAACAAAACACACAAAACTTGCAAACCCCAAGGCTCTGTATTTGTTCAACAAAAACAAGAACTTCCCCTAAGCAGCCATATCACCCTGCAACTCACAACTGGCAACCCACTGAAGCTAAGCAGGTGTGAGCCTGGTCAGTACCTGGATGAGCGACCTCCTGGGAAAAACTAAGGTTGCTGCTGGAAGAGGTGTTAGTGGGGCCAGCAGGGGGTGCTCACCCTGTGGTCTACGTGGATCCTAATGCCCCAGTATAGTGACGGGGACACTATACTGTAAACAGGTGCTGTCCTTTGGACGTAAAACCGAGGTCCTAACTCTCTGTGGTCATTAAAACTCAGAGGGTGTTTCTTGAAAAGGGGGTGTAACCTTGTCATCCTGGCCAGATTTTCCATTGGCCCTTAGCAATCATGGCCTCCTAATCTTCAATTGGTTTCATAACTCTGTTCTCCTCCCCACCAATAGCTGGTGTGTGGTGAGCTGCCGTTGCATCATCCAGGTGGATGCTGCACATTAATAATAATGTTTCTTTATAAACCCTATACAATTTCTTGCATTAGGAATTCGTCTTTTCGCATAACCCAGCTTTTCTCCATGGAGACACAGACACACAGGCAGGGAGAGAAGCTTGGGGTCAGAGCGCAGGGTCTGCCATTGTACGGCGCCCCTGGAGCAGTTAGGGTTAAGGGCCTTGCTCAGGGGCCCAACGGCGTAGGATTCCTCTGCCGGCCACAGGATTTGAACCGGCAACCTTCCAGTCACAGACGCAGATCCTTAGCCACAGAGCCACCGCTCCGCCCATTGGTGGTGGTGGAGGGAAAAGCTCTATATAAGTGTAAGCAATTATTATTATTAAGTCATTTTTCCTAGGCTACCTTCTATAGAAGAGGCGTATGTTGGTAAATAAAGAAAACACAAAAGCAAACACAGATATGCGTTTTACAAGCACAAACCATTAACTTTTAATGTTAAAAATGAGAAACACATTACTCCCTTAAAAGTAAGGGAGCTTTGATTAAAATCAAAGCAAAGACATTATATTATCTATTAATGGAAATTGATTTTTCATTCCAGGGGAGAGATTGAAGCTGAAGCTGTTGTTCTAACGGAGAACCTAACCACTGAAATCGAAACCCAAGCTGTAAAAAGTACAGCTGACAGAGAAACGCGCTTTTTCCCATGTACCGTAAATACTCGAATATGGTCACACTACGTTTTCATTTTATCACTGCGATTTAGATGCGTAGTAGCTCCTTCTGTTTATTTTGACCGTCGACTGCTTGTTAAAAATAATCGATTCAATTAGAAGACCTTTGTTATCTCAGACTTCGGAAATTCAGTAAAGGCATAACGGCAGCTCCGCCTTTTCTATTAAAAAACGTGTAAATATCTTAACTATGTATAGCTCCCGAAGCTCTTTTCCTAGTCAAAGAAAAAAAACACATATATACGCACAATTCCTTAGTACGCTTCTAATTAAAAACAAACTGCGCAAATGCTTATGAATCATAAACAATCAGTTCAAATGAACTTCCATTCAAAACAGCGTTACTCTCAATGAAAAACATCACTGTAACAAAAAGATCCGAAGTTATTTCGCTCTAGTATAACTCAGCTTACACACATTGCCTTGGAGTATTGAAAAAAAACTTTTTTTTTGCTATATTGAGTCATTATCGACGTGTCTATACTTTTAACAACGATGTTTGAATTCGTAATTTAGTCGAATTTCTTCAGCTAAACCACAAAAATCAATAGTAATCGCGCATCTCGACAGATTCCGTGTAAATGGCGCCCCAGACAACCCTCGCCTCCTCGGCTCCGTGCTTCACTCAAAGCCCAGGCTCTTGGGCCCTCACGGTTTAGTCCCCTTAATACTGAACCTGTGGGGTGCTCCCGAGTACACAATCCAGGTACTTCATGCCAATCCGAAAAAACACAACCGCAGGGAACAAACAGAAACCCCGCGCCCAGGGACAGCATTTCCGAGGCGCCCGCACCTGACAGGTCAGTGCCAGGCTCCCAGCCTGCAGCGCCCCCAGGACCGGCGTCTTATCCTGAATGAAAAAGCAGCAGGCTGTCCATGAAAGTGACGACAAAGAGACAGGGGACAGCCACGACACTTGTTTGTTTGCAATCGAGGGCATGAAGCTCCATATTAGAAGTCACCCGCCGTTTGCGGTGAACTATTACAGCAGGGGGTTGTAAAACACACCAAGCCAACGGCATCTATGGCTCTCCGTCGGCCAACATGTCAAGAGACCCCATCTCACCGCATTCTTTTTCTGCGCCATTTTATCCATCTTTTTCGCGATCCTTATGATCTCTTCTTCCTCTTTCTTCCCCATTATGATCCGCGTGGTTGTTTAGTTTTCTCTACAAATAAATATTAAACGTTAAAATTCACCCTCCCGCCTCACAACACAACATAGAGCGGCGGCCGGCTCAGCGGGCGCATAAACCGCAGCGCAGCAGGCGAAACTAATCGCCCAGAGATTCCGAGGGTAGGGAGATGTAATAGATACACGAGTGACTGATGGATAACTGGGCTGACGGAGTTGATCGCAGGTTTTACGCCAAGAGGGATTTCTCCTTGAAAACGTATAGCATCTCGTAATCCATTACTTATTGGGGGTGAAGATTTGGCGTGAATACAGATGATAGACCGCGGACTTCAAGATTTATGCTACTGTATTCTTTAGTTCTGTCTGTATTCTAAAATAATTTAAAAAACTTATTTTTAAGGACAATGAAAAGCTGTATAAATGTTCTAATATTACTGAGGGTAGCTTGAAAGGTCAATTTCAATTAAAACAAACGATAAAAGAAAGTTACAAACAAGGCCATAGCATCTAAAGATCTCATCCAGCTGTTTCTTGGCCCCTGTTCTCAGTCTTAGAACTGAGACTGAACTTCTTCATAGTTTTCACTCGTCTCTTCTGGTTCACGTTTTTCTGATCATTCTGAAGAAGTCAATTGGATTAACTTACAATCTTTGAATAAAGTCCCTTTCAATTCTTTTCTGTTGAAGACTATGGCAATTCAGTTATTTTAATCGATCAATAAAAGGCAGTCCTTTAAACCTGGGACATCTGTCACACCAAGGCAGAGCAGTAATAGCATTTATGCGGCAATAAGAATTGAAACCAACGTTCCCAACCAGGTCTTAAAACAAGTTAAAGGTTTTAATATAACATGATTTCATTTAATGTCACAATATGACGATTAGGTCACAATTAAATTTAGGTGTACAGATGTTGCCACCACTTTAATTTCTTCCCTATAGTGCCCAAATTAGGAAACCGATGTGCGACCGCTCTTTTTAATTTCTTTTTTAAGACCGCATGAGCACAGCATTTCCCATCTTTGGAAAGAGAGCTACGTACTGCTCCAAATATATTATATTTATTCCATTATATTATTTCCTAGAGCCAACCGCCTAAAGATGAGACATCGTAAATTGACAGCGGTGAAGTTGTGTACTGTAATATGATTAATTGGAACCGTTTGTTTCCAGCTCTTAAATATGTTGGAGCTTTAACGGATTTTATTTTATAAGTGTCAAATCCCCAATTTATGTCTGGAAACAAACTGCAAATATTTCAATGAAGCAACTTCTGAGATCCATGTAGGCTTCAATTCTCCAATTAAAGTGCGGTGTAATGAAAACCAGGAGATATGTGGGTCACCAGGAGCAGGGTTGGGAAGCCCTGTCCTGGAAGGTGGTAACACTTCCTTGACTAGGACAGAGTTCCCAGTCCTGACCACTTTAACTCCAGAGTGACCTAGTTTCCACCTTAGGCCATCACCTTTATATGTTGTACACCACAGAGTTAGAAAAAGACCAAGGGCATTACACTACATTTGTTCTGTAATCCCTGAAGCCGGAGATGACCAAAATGAATCGACCATGCCAGTTTGCTCTGAGCTTAAATAGCAAGCAGAAAGGGTTCTGAAAATACAGCAATATAAACTAAAATCACCACATGTTGGTGCAACTGTGGGAGCATAGTGTCTGTATATTTCTTAACTTCCCAAAGGTGCAAGTGCAATGCAATGACTATCAATACATCAAGGATACATCTACAAAGACAACACACATCTAACATCACTTCCAGCTGTCAAAAAAAGACCAGTTAATTACATTAATTGGCCCTTTTTGTTTATATTAACCACTCATTCAGATACTTAAAATAATGTGTAAAATTGCATTGTGATGGACGTGAATTATGTGGTTGCAAAGCATGTTGTTTGTTGTTGTTGTTAGATGCTCTGATGAGACAATTGATCTTACCTGGGTCTTTTTGAGTTTATTACAAGATGCCATAAGGATTCAATGGAAGCAAAGAATGATTTTGCAAAGCTCTAGTCATTTAAATAATGATTACTAATGCAATCCACAACGTATGTTACTGAGACTGCGCACTATGTGCTAAATAAGTAAATAATTACTGTATTATACTTATTGTTATATTTGACATTTCCAACTTTATTTAAAAAATCTATACTTTGGAGATGCATGTATAAATAACCTGTTTTATAAGAATGGAATATCATGATTTTTCTTTTCCTTTGATGAAGAAAAAAAATCTTTAAACCTGCAAATAAAAAAAAATAGAGGCCCCCAGTACAAGAATTACAATATTTTCATTTATTGTAAATCCACATAAATTAAAACTTTAAGATGTCCGTTCTTACAGTGTATTAATCAAATGCATTGTTTTACTTGGAAAAATGGCTTCTTCGATAGCAAATAGTTACAGCCACAACAGTTGCGACAACACATTAGCCACCTAAATAATGTAGGTTCCTTGCTGTTCTCGCAGTGAACTTAACAGTTAATAAACTACTAAAGTATACCTTTTCACTGCTTCTCCACAAGTCCCAGGGGTGTATCTCTGCATGACAGGCAAAATGTGGCAAATATACAGCAGGTGTAGAACAATGTATTTGGAGTTTTGCAGTTTCTTGGGGAATTAGAGCTTAAGTAGAATTCAGTTATAGCTGGTGCTGGTGTCTCATTAAAAGGCCTCAGTTGTGAAATTAATTGATTGGAGGTAGCTGCTTTTCGATAAACTGCTTGATATCCATCATTTCCTGTGGAAGAAAATATATCACAAAATTAGAAATAATCAATGCTGCACTGCATTTTTCAAAAGTTAACAGATACCAAGCCTTGCAAATCCAGAGGATCAGTTTAGCTTGTTGTCGTTTTGATGCATGTAGTTTTTTTTAACTACAATGTATGTATGTAGTTTTTTAAAAATGTAATTTAATGTTTTATGTAGTCATAACACACTGAAGTAGAAATAAATATCAGTTACATACATACCCAGCTCTACACATTTTAAAAAAACAGAAGTAAATAGATGATGGATATGAAAGAAAAATGGAAAACGTGTGACTGCATAAATATTCAAACCCTTTTTGTTTATTTTATTAAAATAACTTTATTTGATTCAAACGCCAGTATCAATTGTTTGGTTAACAGTAATTGAATTCTATTACATTTCAGCAAGGGTAGGGCCACTGGCCACGTCCTGTCTGATTCAGCTGTTAACTTGTAAAAGTCAGGCTACCGACCTGGGGGCAGGAACTGTGTGGCATCCTTGGATAGGTCTTGAAGCTGACGTTTGCTGGGTTGACAATACTTTTTAACTTTTCCACCGTGAGACACCCAAACACTAGAGGAACCAGGGGATCAGCCTCTCCATGGCACTGCAGAATACCGACGTCTTTATTCACACCGTTGGCCGCTGCCTATAGGTGTCAGGGATTACAGGGACGAAGACAAACAGAAGACAAACCATCAGGAATGCAGTTAAGAACCTTTAAGTTGTTGTTAGCAACTGAAAACACCACAATTGTACTACTCTATACAACTTGTACTAATCTATACAACTGAAGAAGATGTGTAATTCTTCTACTTATTCCAACAGGAGATAAGAATATAACTGGCAGTCAAGCTGTAAAAAAAGATAAGAGTACAGCATTTGGCTCATATGGTGTTGCAGCCAGTGGAGCCAGGAAGGTTGGCTTTAGACCTCCTGGGAAAGCAAAGGTTGCTGCTGGAAGAGGTGTTAGCGGGACCAGTAGGGAGTGCTCACCCTGTGGTCTGTGTGTGACGTAATGCCTCAGTATAGTGATGGGAATACTACACTACAAAAAGGGTGCTGTCCATGGGATGAAACATAAAAACCAGGTCTTAACTCCCTATGGTCATTCAAAAATCCTAGAGCATTTCTAGAAAAGAGTAGGGGTGTTACCCCAGTGTCCTGGGAAAATACCCCGTTGACTTTACCAATCAAGGCCTCCTAATAATGTCCATCTATGAACTGGCTTAATCGCTCTGTTCTCCTCCCCACTGAGAGCCGATGTGTGGTGAGTGTACTGGCATCACACCATTCAGGTAGGTACTGCACACACTGCCTGAAAAGCACTCCGAGTGGAGAGTCCAGAAACACGCCAAATAAGTGTAAGGATTAATCTTTCTGTTTAAAAACACATCCAGTATGGGGGGCGGGCAATTGGCTACACTTATTTTAATAAGAGGCCCAATGCTATCCCACACTCACTGTCCCTCAGTTCCAGCCAAATTAAAAATGATCCTGTTCCCTGTCACATTTCCAAGTGGAGGAATTAATTTCACACAGAAAGGTCATCTTTCAATCCATAAAAGAGAGGAAAAGGTGGGGGCTGACATGCAAATCTGTCATGTGTTCAAATGCTATTTTCACTCCGAAGTAGGGAAAATGGACTATCCATGGACACAGAATATGCATGCGAGAGCATCATTCCTGGGAATGAATGCGGTCTCAGGTGGCCACTTGTCTGAGATCTGGTGCAATAAGCTGTGAAACTGTAACTCCGTCGTGCCTTGTCGTTAAAAAACAATTATCTTCTAAAAGCCATTATGGGGTTTGGCAGCTAATGTTATAAGTAAATAATATCTTTACTAATTAATCCTGTGGCCTTTTGAATGAAATAAACACTCACTAAACCAGGAGGTACGAAATGAATTTGCCAAACCCAGCTGTGCAGATAACCATGGCTGAAAGCTAGTGGAGACATAAGGCTATTGAGATAGGAGTCAAATCCTTACCACTCATGCTCCTGAGGATGTCTTAGCACAAACTTGTAATTCTGTCCTTCCAAATGAATACAGGCACAGCTAATTGCCAATAGCCCTATTAGTACACCCCTCTATAAAAGCCAATCGTATACAGTCCAGCTAGGAAAACCATGTGCCCAGTGCCAATCTTAAGAAATCTAGTCTTTTGTATTAAGATAAAAGAGTACAATGCTCAGAAATATGTTAAAAAATATAACTTCAAACAATGCAAGATAATGAATGTTGCATGCATTATGCAAGTGCCTCTCAGTGAATGCTTTCATATTTGAAATGAATTATACAAAAAATTATATTATAGTATTACATGATTGAATAAGGGAATGCATTTATAAGCAATATTAATGAAAGCAGAGCACAGTATATGTTGTTTACACAACTCCAGCCACTGAATTGTACAGGTATGAGAAAAAATATTTTACATTTCACTTAACCCTGTGTTGCAGAAACAGATGCAGCAGTTACAGCGCTGGTAGAAAACCCTTTGAAATATCCAATCGAATAAGGTTACTATTTTATGTATACCTGATACCAGCAGTTTTTCCCCCATAGAGAACATATAAATAACTCAAATACCAAAAATTAGGAAACAGAACTAATTGGTATCAGAAACGACAAAAACATACCTGTGGGAATGAACTACGCAGAGGAAGCCAGCAGCTCAGGGCTACCACGCCTGCCAGTTTCTGTTGTGTGGTCAAAGCTGTGTACAGAGACAACGCTCCTCCCTGCTCAAAAACATACAATTCAATAGAGGTATTATCAGAAAATAAGAGATCCATTTACAGGTTGTCGTATATTGAGAAATCCATAAAGTATATTTTACAATACCTGTGAAAATCCGCCCAAAACAATTCTGTGAGAAGGTATTCCATTTTTTACTTCTTGGTCTATAAGTGCTTTAACTTGAAATAAAAAAAAAAAACACAGAGAAGCAAAAAGACATAAAATGACATCGCAATAAAACTGGCAATCCAAATTTTAACCAAGGGATAAGTAAAACTCAAAAAGCAAGTAAAACCACAGACAAAAATAACAACCAGATATAAAAGGTTTTTCATAAGTTAAGGCAGGGATTACTAAGTGAACTCCAGGGTAATGGTCATAAGAAAGCATAATGTATAAAGATTTCTCTCCGTCTTTGTCAAACTAGTAGGAGCAGACTACTCCAATAATTATATATCCATCTTAATTAAAAAAAAAAAATTTAATTAAAAAGTTAAGATGGAACATAAAATAAACTGTGGCTGCAATGGTGTACACAGGTAGTTCCATATTCAAGCTCCAGTGACTCATCGGCCCAGATGGGTTTCCTGGTTATCCTGGTTTCCATGGTGTTAAAAGAACAGTCCATCCGAGGAACTACCACCACCAATGTTGCTTCCCATTCATACAACTGGGTTTTCTGCACAATGGTGGTGATGCACCTTACTCAAAGATAATGTGGAAACATGCCAAAAAAGTTTATGCAGCACCATTTTCTCCAGACTCACTCAAGTTTTAACTAAGCTATTACACAATATTTCACAAAAAAAAAAAAAGTGTTGAAATGGGGACATTGAGACATTTTGGGTGCTTTGTGAAACATGAGGCGATCCACCGGAGAAATAGCTATACCGCACAACAGTACATACCCTGCCGTATCATTTTGTGATCATACAATAGCAATGAAATTTTACCCCCAAAAAAAGAAAAAACGATTTAGCGAGATTTTTTTTACCAACAAAAATGGAAAATTGAATAGTTATTCTGTAAGACTGAAGATAATCCATTAATAACCAGTACTAAGTACTGTGTTGTACAGTTCATTTATGAAAATTCAAGAGTACCATTTCTGTTGAAATGCAACTTTGAACATTGCTTGCGTGACCACATTTAAAAGATTATATCAAAAGGTCGGTTATTTTACATGTCAGACAAAACAAAGGGGTTTTGAAACTGGCTACCTTATCTGTTATATCAGAAAAGCAGAAACGATTGAGGACATATAGCAAAACAGACAATTATATATTCTCCAATCCCACTCTTACTATTTTCTGCTGCCTCTTTGATTCCCGAATCATCTTCTTCTGCTTCAGGGCTAAGTCCGATTATGTCAAACCTGAAAACAACAGGGAACAAAAAAGATTCCAAACCAAAAACTTACTTTATTCAGTCTAACATTTAGATGACACGTGAGTCACATCTCATACGCAAATACACAGCTTATGCCATATACAATCAACTACGTGGTTTTCTTCTGAGGAACCCAAATAAGTAAAATGCAGCAAACCGCCTGCTCGCATTTTGTTCTCCCATATTATTCTTGCATTAATCCCTGTTTCCCCCTGTTGAGACTCCATCTGTAATAGACTCCAGTAGATCAAACCCCCTTCTACTTAGCAAGCTGAAACCAAAATGTTTTCACACATGATGAAGCCAGGAAGAATTCAATTATTTATTTTGGGAATAAAGTGTTAACAGGATGTTGACCATATTCATGAAAAAAAACTGGTGAAACTGGTGATATTCATATCCAATGTATGGATATTAGAGATCACAAATGTAAAAAACTTGGACACCACACTCACAGCCTCATTGCCGATTTCCACGGAGAGAGTTTTAGAAAGTTTTTCCGGAAATTAATCTCCATTTTTCCCCAAGAATACCAATCACCCCGGTTTCACACTTTCTTCCCCCTTCCCTCTGGTAAGCGTTATAAGAGCATAAAGGTACAAACTTCCAGTTTAAGAGACGATTTCTTCCCACATGCGGTCAGATTACTGAATTCTATCCCTAGCGCACACTGATTTTTTCCCCCTCACATTGTTTGTCTGACTTTTTTTTAAGTTGTATATTATTTAACTTGTTGTTGCTGCTCTGCATTTATGTTTTTGGCGATGTCTTTGTATTGGAGCATACATGCAAATAAGCATTTCATTGCACTTGACTTGTGCAGGTAAACAGCTGAACTGAATTCTACCATTTTAAGGGTATTAATCTCCAGGTGTTCCTACCATTTTGCTTACAAGGACTTTGGTGCTTGGCCTGACCTTCCTGTCTGTGGTGTGATATGGTCTATTGGAATGATACTAACAAAAAAAAAACAATTCAGTTATGGTTATTTAACTTAGCAAAAACAAGCAGACAAATATAGATCTTACCAGGATGGCATGGCCATATTCATGTTCAAGGTAACTGGCATTATTGGCCTAGAATATTGAGAAACAGAAAATTAGGCACATTCAATAATCATGTAAGAATCTAGTGGAAGCAGAGTGATGACACTGGAATGAAATAAATAGGCTTCATATTTAGTGTTGTTTCTTTAATGCATTTTTGCGACTCTTAAAAGGTCCTTTTTATTGGGTTTGGTTGCCTCCTTTAATGTTAGCATTATCTATTTTACTTGGATAACCCATTTTATTCTGCAGCAAATACATCACATTTGTTATAAAAAAAATACACTAATCCACAACTGGTCTCGTCAACATACAAAAAAGATTGTGAAATGTTGCTACTGGTATCATCAGTGAGAAATATTAACATCACGTGGATTCTTGAAGAAAAACAGGAACAGCATTTATACCTGAAAAACAAGATACTTACGCATGAGGGCAAATATATTTAACATGGGGGGTCCTGATGCCTGCAAAGGCTTCTGCCCAGCTGTGTCTGTGTAGGAAAATCAGTAAAGAAAAATATATTTCTGGTTATATTTCGTATAAGCAGACTGGTCATCCTGATGCAATTTCAAATAAACTGGTTCCAAAAAGACAGCCTACTTTCACTATACTTCCACCTCCTCATACATTTCTGGGTAAACTGATAATCTATCAGGCAGACTTTGCAAACCTCAGTTTGGTTTGATGCCAGTGTTGGCTTTCCTATCCATGTGCAGTGTTCAGCTCTTGCCAGATGAGTCCTCTTTATAATAACATCACTTTATTAAACCTTTACAATTTCTTTCATTAGGAATTATCTTTTCACATACCCCAGCTTGCTCTCCATGAGACACACAGACAGGGAGAGAGCCTGGGGTCAGAGCGCAGGGTCAGCCATTGTACGGCCCCCCTGGAGCAGCTGGGGTTAAGGGCCTTGCTCAGGGGACCAACGGAGTAGGATTCCTCTGCCAGCTGCAGGATTTGAACCGGCGACCTTCCAGCCACAGGCACAGATCCTTAGCCGCAGAGCCACCATTCTGCCAATTTACAATTACTGGGCTGAAATTCAGACAACGTATGAAAAATCCCCTTTATCACTATTATTTTCCCTAAAATAGAAAAGGGTGAGTTGAAATTGACTGAAAAATTTGATATACAAATTCTGCCCTGTCTAGATGTTATATTATATGAATCAGAACTACTGTGAAAAACAATGACATTTACAAATGATACATACCCAGTGTCCCCCAATCCATGAAGGAATATTACCTATATGGAAATAAAGAATAACAATTTAATATGGTTTTGCTTTATCCTGTGTCACATAGATCATACCAGTCCCTACTCCGTGTTTCCCCATTTTGTCTCTATAGTTTAGGATTCTGCTACCTGTATGTGAATTTTGTCTACATTAAACGTTGCCTGTCAGCTGTTTGCCAAATTGGGAATTCTCTCATAATCTTTTTTTAAATTAAATAAAACAATCCACCTTACCCACAGCACTGCAAGCTCGGTACAAGAATTCAACTCAAACAACACCAAAGCTCCTTTCAAATCTGCAGACCTAGTTGCACAAAATCAGGGACAGACACGAATTTCCCCGAATTGAAAAGCACAAGCAAGCCTGTACTGTACTCCGTTCCATTCATTTATTAGATCACACCACGAGGCGGCCGAAGCACCCACGTCTGACAAACTCAATGCCAGATATTAACTCATTCAGACCACTGAAAAATTCTTGGATCTCGGGAGGAGGCGGTCTGAATCAATAAACGAATCTGACTTCATTTCAAAAGGTCGAACTAACCGGTCTCCTTATTAACATAGCACTGCATGCAATTAATACATTTATACCAATACCCCCCGATAAGTAATGCACACTGCACAACTTACCGCTGCCGTCGCTTTCCGGGCGGCGGGTACAATGGCTGGAAGCGGCGTTGACATGTTATTACCGCACATACAACGGACAGGCAACTGGCATCCAACAAGAAAATAAATATTCAGTATAAAACTGCTGGACGTACAAACACAGATAATCAGGGATTACGCCTTTGCAACGTTGGGAGCTCTTCCCCCACCTTGGTCTGCTGGCGATTCTTAAAAATACGTGTTCCAGTTTGTTGCTTTATAATGTCAGGTTAACCTATACAGCTGATTCGCCCAAGTATTAAGCAATTGTGTCGTCTGTCCTTGTAGCGTTTTGTGAAGTTTGAAGAGGATGAGGTAAACAACCTATTTCATTCGGTGTTTCTCGCACTGGCACACGTTTAGGAAATCCCGCCTCTGCTCCTTTCTGATTGATGAGCAGGTTTTCCTTGGCAGAAAAGATCGCCTATTGTTGGTTCGCGTAATTGTCAGCCAAACCCCATTCTGTTTCAAGGCTGCATGAAATTACTGGGCTGACAAGACTTATAGGGGACCTTGAGTGATAATCAGGACGTCGCGACGATAGGATCAGCGATTTAATGTACTAGTGCTTCCCATTGCATGTCTGTATTGATTGTATGACGACAGCATTATTAACAAGATACCTTTCTGATAACTGCACCCCTGAGCCATCCTGCGGCAGTGCGCAACAAAAGGTTCGTTTTCTGCAATCAGAGGAGCGGCTCCAGAAGGAAAAACACAATGTGGAGCGGATGGCTAATCTAATATATCCTGTATTTCAAACTGATGTGTCATTACTCATATCACATTTGTTTTTACTATAGCAAGTAAGGGCACACGTTGTATCCGACACTAGAGTACTCGATCAGAAGGAAATTGTACATATCAGAAAACGCTGTGGAAATTGTGACCTTAAATTATCAAACTGAACACAAATTAAATATACTAAACGCAGTACAAATTAACCATATTAAAAAAATATTGGACCTTCCATCTCAGCGATGATAACATTTCGATCAGGTCAGGTGGTATGATACGAGAAACAAAAAAAACACAAAACTGCAATTGCCCTTCCTTCACCCACAGTTATCTACTAATTTCCTTCCTGGACTCATCTCATCTCATCTCACATGGCCGCCGTACACTAAACCACAGTGTCGCGCTTATATCACTTCCTGTTTTTTACTTTAGCCGTAAAGCAATTTATCAGGCTACTCCACGACGACGGCTAAACCTTGCCCTTGGACGTTTTCAAAGATGTCTGTCCCCAGGAAACCAGGTGGAAAGGCACTGGATCTTCTTCGAAATTTGCCAAGGATCTCTCTCGCGAATCTTAGACCGAACCCGGGAGCCAAGAAACTTGTGAGTGCGGACCTGAGTGACCTGTACTGGTTGTAAAATAGAAAAGACTGTAAAATCAGAACGGATCCGTTCATGCAGGTTTTTACAACAAAAACGCTAAAATGAATTAATCATTTGTTGAACGCACTTTCTACATGCATAGTACACAATTGCGAATGCAAATTGTCAGAAAAACGAAAGTAAATCTAAATTCCTACTCTTAACATTGCACGAATGAAAAATGTCTGGTGTGGAGTAATTTTTGCACGTGCAGTTAATTGTATACTAAGTCTTGCGTGTTTTAATGACCCCAAAATGGGTAGGTGTTTTTACGTTAACGGTGTTTGTTGTAATCCATTTTTATATGTAATTGATACAATAGTTCATATTTATAGTCACCGGCACGTCTGTGTGGGCACGATGCCAATAATACAATTTACATAAAGGCAACATGAATAAAGTTTAGATTTGGATTAATTGCTTTTGACGGCTGTTGCATTAGGCAGTCGAGAAAAAAATGTAGAAGACTTTTAATTCATGTTAGACGGAAGAGTAGCTTTCATTTTCAGAATGCAGTATAAAGCAGTAGAGGCACGGTGGCACAGTTGTCAGTATTTGGAGTGCTATCTGTGTCGAGTTTGTGTGTTCTCTCTGTGTTCATAGGGTATCTTTAGGTGGTCATGTTTCCTGTCACAGTCTTAGTAGGTTAATTGACTTATGGGAAATTTGGCCCCGGTGTGAGAGTGTGCATGTTTGTGTGCCCTGTGAGGGACTGGCATCCCATCCAGGGTGTATCCTGCCCTATGCTCATTGCTGGCTGGAACAGGCGCCAGCTCCACCACAGCCTTGGATTGGATAAAGTGCTTAGACAGTGGATTGTGACGGGCCTCCACCTGTTGGTGGGTCAATTCCTCGCGAGTCTGGTGTCCGGTTTTTGTTCTGTCCTAGCTCTCGGTTGCATTGTTGATGTACTGTACTATTTAGGTAGCCGGCTAATTGTAATACTTGTCATCAGGATGTGAGGTGTTTTTATAATGAACTGCTTTTAAGTGAAGTGAATTAAGTCAGTTGAATGCTTTGAGTAATAATAAAAAGTACCTTAAGAAAAATCATTTAGATATATAAGAAAATTATTAGGTTAAAGGTTCAATTAACTCCCCGGGTTTGAAGGAACGGTCTGTATTTCTGACAGCACATTTTGTTTGGCCAAAATGTGAACGAATGGTTTTCTTCCAATCAGGAGAAGAGGCGAGGCCGAGGAGCCCATGGGGGAAGCAAGAGTGGCCGTGGTCACAAAGGAGAAAGGCAGAGGGGCAATCGCCCTCGGCTGGGTTTCGAGGGAGGACAGACACCCTTTTACCTCCTTATCCCCAAATACGGCTACAATGAGGGGCACAGGTAAGTTTCCATCACCCCTCTTTCGCAGTCAGAGCCTTTGCAGGCGAGTGATGTCCCGTTTTTATTCTTACAGATATCAAGTATTTTTTGCTCATTTCAGATTAAGATCTTGCATTAGGAATTTGTCTTTTCACATACCCCAGCTTGCTCTCCACACATAGGCACACAGACAGGGAGAAGGAGTATCTTTGGGTCCAGTCGCGGGGTCAGCCATTTATATGGTGCCCCTGGAGCAGTTGGGGTTAAGGGCTTTGCTCAGGGGCCCAACGGAGTAGGATTCCTCTGCCGGCTGCTGGATATGAACTGGCAACCTTCCAGCCAGAGTTGCAGATCCTTAGTCACAGTGCCACTGCTCCGCCCAAATTCTTATGTGTCTTTTGCGTTCGTTTGTTTTCTTGTGTTTGTTTTCTCCTTGGCTGTTTTTACTCACTATCATTTCTGTTGTTGCTTTTTTGCTTTTTTTTTAAGTGACTGTCAGACAAAGAACTTTCTTCCTCACGGGGGGGGGCTTCCTCGTTTTAGGACCACTATACTAACAGTGATGAAGTTGGAAAGTTTCTATGTCCTTGGTGTTGCTGGGGTTTTCAATAGTAATTCTGAACAGATTGTTCAGCGATATCCATATAAGAAGGATCGAATCATGCATATTATGAGTCATTCTGCAAGTGGACAACACTAAAAAGATACAAAGATAGTGGCTAAAAATGTTTTTACTTTATAGCGAGACATACTTTTTTGTTAAAGCTAAGTAAATATCACTATTGACAATTAAATATAATAGCATATCTGTGGTGCAAATAGTAACTGTGAAGAGGTTGATTAGATTCAAGATTGTATTGGTGCCTCAAACGAAATAAGACAAACTACAGCTGTGAATGTGTCTTCAATTTTGTATCATTTCTAGGGGGACTTCAGAATAATCACTCTTTGCACTAATTGGGGATGTATTGACCCTTGGAAATCAAGGGTAAAAAAGCAGGGGAGAAGCTTTATTGTTGGTTTACGGGACAGATCAGCATTGTATTTCTTGCTTTGCATGTCTCCTTGCTGTCAGTTTCAAGGAGTTACTCGACACTGGTTTTCTTGATGTGGCTAGGTTAACAGTTATGTAACCCATATGCTTTTTTTAAGAATTTAGAATTTAAGAGTGATTGGAACGTAATGCTGTATTTGTTTCACCCAGTCGCCGGCCTCAGTACCAGCCCTTAAGTCTGAATAGACTCCAGTACCTGATAGATCTGGGCAGAGTTGACCCCAGAGAGCCCATAGACCTCACACAGTTAGTGAATGCCAGAGGAGTGACAGTGCAGCCACTGAAGAAGGACTATGGTATTCAGCTAGTGGAAGAGGTAAGAAAAAATGTCTTGTTGCATTTTGGTTCGATCCGCCGTACACAGTTATCCACAAAAGGTCTTTGGAAGCATAAAACAAAATCCAAATGTAGCATGAACCTTGAATTCTGTTTTAGTATGAGTGCTCATTAAAATACCAGTTAGTGGATCTACAGTGCCATGCAAAAGTATTCAAACCCAGTCTGCACAGTTTTCACATCTTGTTGTTTAAACATTTGAAGTCCTGACACTTTGAAAGTAGCCATTAATATTTATTATAGACACAGCCTACTTTACAGACCTAAAGGAAAGAAAAAGAACTAAATAAAAATTGAATGAAAGAAAAAGGATATGTCATGAATTATGCTTACATTTTCAAACTCTTTGCTATTTTAAATAAATTACGTGCACAAAATTACTTTATTTATCAACAAGGGTGACTGGCCTCTGTGTGTGCACATAAATTGGTAGATTGTTATAGACTTGTGACTATAATTACTGTCAGATGAATTTCCACCAGATGTTGAGATTGTGGATCTTGGTACTTATGCAAGCATCATATTTGTTTTGAAGACATTTACTGTGTTTTAGATTGAGCATTCTTGTTTTGAATAAAATATGAAGTTCTAAACTGATGCCTAAACTTAATTTAACTTTCACATAGTGGGACAACATACGAAGTTTTTGAGTCCTTTTTTATGCCTTTTCATCACAAAAGGGTTGAGGCTGTGTTCAGTTGTGTATGCTGAATCTGCTGGAAATAGAGGTCTTGAAATGGTGTAGTTTTGACACTCCGGGTTGATCAAAGAAACAAGTTAAGTGAAAGTCTAAACAAGCAAAACGAACATTTTAGAAAATGAGTCAGGAAATTTAAGAATTAACAATAGAGTGTTACATCCCAGAACTAGGGATGTAAACCATTTTAACTATTGTGAATTTCAGTTTATTCACTAGGGGGCAGCAGTTCTTCAGGTTACTGTGTTATTGAAGACATTTAGCATTTCAAAATCTTGAACTAAAATTTGATCTTGTACCAATTTGAAAGCAAATCCTGCCATGTTATGTGTTTTATCTGCTAGGGTGCTGACATTTTTTCAGCTAAAGTGAACATTGAAGTTCAGATGGCTTCTGAACTTGCAATAGCTGCCATAGAAAAGAATGGTGGGATTATTACAACAAGCTTCTATGACCCCAGAAGTTTAAGTAAGTGTTTCCTTTTTGTTTGCTGTTTTTGTGAGTACTACAAGATAAGCTGACCTCATTGTAATAAATTGTAACCAAGCAGAATATTTAAGGCCATATATGTATCCGACCCAATGTTTTATTAAAAATGTTAATTTAGTGTACCATAAAATAGTTGTGCAAAAATCACTGGTATATTACATTCAGAAATGTGTTTTAAGTGATTATGTTTTAGAAAGTATACTGTTTTACATTTAAAAAATGAGATATTGTGTAATTCAGTTCTTCTGAATGAAAATCCACATTCAGTGATTCAAGTTTTAGCTTTGGGTCACCATTCCAATTGAATCCTGGCCTTTGTCTATGAACCCATCTTGAAGTCATTTATTAGTTTCCACTTTTGAAGTTTCAGATTGGAAGAACCGTAACAGACCTTGAGAAATGACTGTGTTTCGTAGCCAGACTCCAGGTTGCGTGCTTTGTAAAATTCAAAGCATATCCCCGTTTTGCATAGCAAGCACAGCTTGAACCCTCAAAGGTCTGCATATAAATTGAATGATCGTCTTTTCTTCTCAGCTGTCCTCTGTAGACCTGTTCCGTTCTTTATGACTGGGCAACCCATTCCAAAGCGTATGCTTCCAGGAGAAGATTTAGTCCCATATTATACGGATGCCACAAACCGAGGCTACCTGGCTGACCCAGCCCAGATTCAGCAAGCCAGGCTTGAACTTGCCAGGAAATATGGGTATGTTTTACCTGACATTACCAAGGATGAGCTGTACCAGATGCTTACAATGCGGAAGGACCCTCGGCAGATTTTCTTTGGCCTCGCCCCAGGTTGGGTCGTCAACATGGCGGAAAAGAAGATTCTGAAGCCCACGGATGAGAGACTGCTGAGTTATTATAGTTCATGAATCTGAAAAAAAAAACGTTCTATATTGGGTAAAATGTGCTGTGAAATTTTTAGGGGATGATTGTTGGTGATTATTTGTGTGGTGTCAGCCTGCACAGAACATTGCAACTTTGGACTTCACATACTGCAAAAGGATAGGGATGAATGCAGACCTAGGCCAAGGAAATGCACAGTCTAGGCTGTTTTATTTCGCTTGTTGTCTGTTTGTAGTGAAAAGAGTCGCGTTCTGTAAATATTGAACGATTTTACAGGTGTTACTACTTGATATAATCAGATGACTTTAATGTTGCTCAGAGTGTTATTTTGTGATAAAGAATGTTTTGAGTAAAATGTTCTTTTAAAAACAGGATATCTTGGTGTGCTGCCTTATTTGACGCACACTGTAATAAACAGAAGTTCTTGGATACAGTCACAAAGCAACGGGGTAAACAGGAGATAAAGAGCGTGTCCTTAAATAATTGACTGGGCCAGGAACTTGAACAACAAGGGGCTTATTGATATGATACAAATTGTGTTACTCATTTCCATGGTGTACTTTTCAGCTGTTGATGAAAGTGCTGTAGTGCAATTAGAAGAGAACCCAGGCTGTTCACTTAAAAAGAGAAAAGGGCACTTGGATGGAAGAAACATTGTGGTTTACAGGTGAAAGGGAAGCGAGGCAAACAAGATAGCTGCATGAATGAAAACAGGAAACAGATGCCAGCTGATGTACATTACATGCTAAACTGTACAGCTAGGCTGATGTAGGGAATGCAAAATTAGTCAGGAGCAGCTGTATCCTGGCTAGGATTTACAACGAAACACATCCCCCTCCTCACGAGCGCAGACAGGCACACATACACAAACTGTTCTTCCAGCATGATACAAACCCAGATGGAATGTCAGGTGCTTTCCTTGGAATACAGTTAAAAACTGAACAAATATTTGAAAAATTCTTTGATTCTCGGCGCAGTGTGCGGAAAGGACTTCCCTGATACTTTCAACCAGGATGAACTGACCTGAAGAACTGCTAACATTTCACTGGAGACCTATCAAACAGCATTACAGCACATTCCATACATACCAGACTGAAAGCTGCATGATTAACTGCTGTCTGTTTAAACATGATTTATTGCCAGCACCATTCAAAATTCCACAATTATGAAAGGAATTCTCCTATTTACAAGGTTTTGCTCCTCTAGGACACTTCTTGCGTGAATCATTACCATCATCATGAGTGTTGTATCCTCGCCCATAAAACTTGTAAGACATTGTCCTCATAGTTAATTTTGAGCCAGATTTTTTTTTGTGAAACAATTAAGGTTTCCAGTCCAACATGTTCATAGGATGTCTAATCAAACCATTGGTGATAGTGAGTGTGCTACTGCAGACCCTTATAAAACCTCAAATGTAAGGCTTCCCAGAGGCTAATCCTGGTAACATTAAAATCTTTTCACATTGTTAAATAATACAGAATAACTTTCCAATGATCAGTAAAACTGCTGTTCAAAGTTGTCTACTTTTGGCAAACCTGAATACACAAAACAATAATCTAAATGTTGAAGATAATTTTATACTGACTGCTTGTTAGCTTGTGTGTAAATACAACCTTTACCAAGTATGTTATACTAATTAACCGATTGATTAAATATCTCTTCCCACCTGTAAAATGAGTAGCTTCTATTACCTACGTTTTTCTACGTTCCCCTTTCTAGCAAATCTAATGTAGTTTGTGTGATTTTCATGTTTTCATGTATTTTGACGTAATGTGTATTTTTAGCAGTAAAAATCACTTCAGTGGAATATCCACTGTGAAATGAGTGTAATTCTAGGTCATCAATATATTTTCTATAAAGTGATGACTAAGCGTGTACATTGATACAAGTTAAATGTATCAATGTACAGGTATGTCACATTAAAATTATTCAATTTTAATGTGACATACCTTGTTTTGGTCACCCTATAGATGGGCACTACATTAGCAACTCTTCGGTCCCAAATACAGACACAGCTCTCTGCATGAATGTCTAATACACAGCATCGTTAAGACAAAAAGCGAGTCTTTGTTAACAATTAGAGGAAAACCAGCAGCATGAATAGCTGGTGTTCATAAATACCATTAATTAAGAAATTAAACATAGAACTTTAGAAAACAAGGTACAGATTATTACTTTAATTCACTTCTTCCTGTCAGCTGCAATAGAATGAATCATCTACAGAAATGCCAGTGTTTGATGACATTACTGTTGTTACTCTTTTCATTCGAAAGCAAATCTAAGTAATACTGTAGCTGCAAAACAACCCTACAAAACCCTTTTAACCAGCGTTTGAGAAAAGGAAAATAAATGTCCTGATACCTAGTACAGTTTTGTGTGTTTGGAAGCATTTAATATGTAAATATTTTGTGGGGCAATATCAGTTTAGAAAAAGAGTGTGAAGTAGAAAATTATTTTTTTTTTTTAATTGAAGGAGACTTGTTTCATAAATCAAGGCACATATACAGTACAGGATTTGTTTGTTACCCACAAGGATCTTGCAATAACAGGAAAGGTACTTGTCAGGTAGTGCAGAAGGAAGTTATCAATGTCTACCATACATTCTCTTTTAAGTGGTAACTGATGGAAAAAAAACACTTCCTCAGCCATATGAATGAACATCGTGACAGATTTACTGTTCTTGCATTTATGAGCAGTGGAATAAAACCATTAGGGAGTTATTTGTTGAATGCCATTTGATTAAATAAAGAAGGTAAATAAATCTAGTATGCTGTTAATTTCTTCCTTTGTAAACACCTGAGTGAAATTTAGACTGTTTAATATACCATAAATTTACATTTCCCATTCTTATCCTGTGTACATTTGTATTTCAAAAAAAAAGTTTTCACTTGTGCTTACAGTTCATTATTGAACTGGATCCTGTTATTTTTAATCATTTTATATGGTGTTTTTTGGAATTACCCTTGGGAACCATATCTCAAAAAAACATTACAATATAAAAGATCTTGCGCGAGTTAAAAAATGAGAAAACCTTAAAAAGTCACCATGTACATTTTTCAGTACTATAACAGCTTAAGGGGATTTCAAAATTGAAGTAATTAAAAATGTGCTTATAGAGAATAAAAAGAAATGACATGTATTTGCATCAAATGTATTTTATGTAAATGTTTAATGAGGAAGAAATTGATTAAACATTTATGAAAGACCCCCCTCAGTATTAATCACAACAGAAGTTGAAGTATCACAAGGGCTAGGAGTATATACAACAAATACCTACATTTAAAGTTCCTTTTCTTTGTGTTAACTAGAGTACACTTTGGAGAACTGCAAATTGAGCAACAGAGAGTCTCAAGTCTTACAACTACTAAGTCTTATAGATTGTCTGTAAGTTTATGGCTGTTATTAATGAGTGAAACCAAAAGATTGTGAGATTCTAGGCAATATTCTGCCTTAAATTAGAAAAGGCAGGGCTAATTTATTTAGCTACAGTATTTTAAGACAATTAACTTGATTGAGAACAAGCTGATGTACAGAAAGCAGAGTTAGAGGAGCAACTTGAAATTGGGGAACCATTTTTGTTAGAAAAAAGACCTGCTGTTCTCCCAAATTATATTGATTATCTTGATCTTTGGATAAAAACATAAGGTTACAAATGAAGGGAGGATGTTTACCACATTTAGCTCATTTGGTGGTTAGTAGCTAATTGATCTGAGAACCTCATCCAGCTGATTCTTAAAGGAAGCAGAGGTATGCTCTTCAACATGACTGGAGAGCATTTCCACACTCCTGCTACCTTCTGTGAAAAAAGTGCCTCTTATTCTAGATCTTAAATGCAATTTTCATTCCTTTTCATTTATTGTCCTCAAGTTTTTTGTTTCACTGTTTATACTAAAGACATTCATTTTGTTGACTGTTTTGGTGCTATATTAGTGCCCTTGAGGATTTTGAACACTTGAAGGCAGTTCCTTTGTAATGTCGAATGAAAACATTCTAGACATAAAATACAGGATTTGGCAAGTTGTGGCAAAAGATTAGTTTATGGGCACAAAATCTAAAATGTCGTAGATCAATTGTACTTCAAGAGTTTTTTAATCAATTTTTCAAGTAAACAAGGAGAAAAACACCACAAGGCAATATATACCTGTAATTGGAACAGCGACTCGAGAGTGGTCTTAAAAAACATGTTGCTGCGTTTTGAATACATAATTTCTCTAAATACTCTGTGTTTTCCCATTTTTATTTTTATCATCTACACTTTGCTGGTTGTTATTGTTAGTGAGGTTAGTTACAGGCCAGAATAGAAAGAATTACCTAACACAAAAACAAAATAAAAGAAAAAAGTTCATTTGAGCAGCTCGGTCTCTATAAATAGTGCTTGGTATTTGACTATGATATTGTCTAGAGACATGGCTATAGAAGTATATCTGATATAAAGACTTTATCAAAGGAAGCATATGTTTGTGTGTGTGTGCTGAAGTATGAGCATTGTGTAAAGTCACTAAAACACAAAGTTCTCGCTATCACACTTTTCCTGATGCAGTTTTTTTTTGCATTTGTGCACATATTAGTAAGCACAAAGCACAATGCCACACAGCTTTAAAACATTTCTGTTAAAATCCAGTGCCAAGGAATGGCACTGACAAAGTTCCACACTCTCAAGGTCAAACACATTTAAAAATATGCTGTAGAAGCATGTACCAAACTGGTGTTTTTATCTTTTAAAATTCTTCATCTTAATGAAAGATATCCTGGCAGACGTTTAAATGAACTTCTAATGGCTTTAAGGTACAATATTTGTTCATGAAACTTTACCTTGTTTGTTGTTAACTCTGTGGTTTGTAAATGTTTTAAATAGAGTTTTCCAAGCCTGCTGAAATTATTTTTAGTAACGGTTTTGAGAACAGTGAGGTTGTTCAAATTCAGTAAATCCCCTTTTCTGGAGCTGGAGGGCTGTTTTTTTTAAATAATCTTCTAATGACAGAATAAAGCACATTATTGTCTTGAATTAAATGTAATTATTCAATTAAATTAACTTCTCATATCTCTACTGTTTTAAAACCTTCCAGATAATGATTGGACAAAACTGAATTCTAGAACTTGACCAAGAAAGAGTGCTGTGTTAACTAGGATCCACTAGAGGGGACTGCTGTGTGTTCCTCACATCCTCCCACATCTATGCATAAAAGCTTTCCCAGTTGGAAATACACATACATGGAAATATACATTCAACAGAACGTAAGAATATTTACAGTGCATATCCCAAAAGCGGATGTTACCTGGAATTCCTTGTGATTTTGAGGGCTGCAAAACCCCAAACTCTAAATCACCTGAAATTAAATGCATTCACTCATACACAAAACTAACCAAGGGCATATCTTTCCAGGTAAATTGTTGCAAATTCCTATCTACCCAAGAACACTGTTAAGAAACTCAAAGATCAGAACATGTACAGGTTGTTTATTACAACCCTTAAAATTACTTCATACAAAAACAGTCTGGGTAATTTAAGCAAAAGTAATGGGAATCAACTATTTTCTGCTTGTACACTAATTTCCTCTTCTAGCTTTTTTATTTGTAAGGGGATCTATATTTAAATACAGTTGGTATGTAACTAGAGCTATAAATTTTGTTTTGTCATCTGCCGTTTATTAATAGGAGGGGTTGTCAGCTAGTTTTTGTGATTAAGTACTTTCCTGCGTCAAATGAAGCCAATAATATACTACATACGAGTAGTAGATATTTACATGACTATAGCTGGCATGCTAACTGCTTTGAAACCTTTCAGTGTAATACCTTAAATAAATCAAGAAGCAGGAAAGAAACTACACAATTATTGTTTATAGGAGAGCAGGAGTCCTTATCTTCAAAGCAACAGAAATCCTTTTGTATTTGAACTATTGGCACAAAGCTGCAGGAAAACAAAATCTGAAACTTTTTCGTTGCTAATATGCGGAGTAGGCAATGGGTTTTCGGTATTATATTAAGATTAGCATTGTTTTCTTGACATCCCAGAAAGCTCTTACTGTCCCGCAATTACATCAGTTACATACAGTGACTCTATTTACTCATTAAGTATGTGAGAGTACATACATAACTGTGCAAAGCAAACTAAATCCACATGTACATTTCTAAAGAGATAAAAATGATAGATCTATCTTAGTGCACTTCTCACTGTACTGATTGTATTGTATGTGTTTTATTATTATTATTGTATAATTCGTTACACTGTTGCTGTGTTGTCTGTGTCAAGATGCTGTTGCACTGCAATTTCCCTCACGGGATCAATAAAGTATCTATCTAATAGTCATGTTATTAATTCATCGCAACTGTTCATTTTAATTCACACTGTAACATGGAAGGGTGTCCCTTCATAATAGATCAATTGGATAGATCCATACATCACTGATGTCTAGGAATAAAGTTCCTAGATCCCATATTTTCTTCATATTTGCTGTCCGGTAATAAAAACCATTGTGGAATGCAAATGGATAAAAAGAGCGCTGCTGATGGTTTAGCTTCTCCTTTTATTTTCTTCACTTTCTTCTTGTTTTATTCACTTTTATTACTAATTGTATCTCATGTTTTACTGGAGAAAACTGCATTCTAGAGGGATTCTCATGAATTAGAAACATTCTTTACAGCCTTTTAGCTGCAGAATCAAGTGATTAGGATGCTGCCTGAAGGTCTAATCATTTCAGTCGCACAGAACAGCTCAATGTTTGTGCCTGAACTCATTCTCACCATTTGATTAAATGCTTAAACTTGGAACTTTGGAACTGTTGCCTTGTACCGAAGGTGGCCAACTCCAGTAGTGAAGAGCCATAATCAAACAGTTTTACTGATCTCTTTAAATCAGCAGCACTTTTAGAGCAGGGAAAACCTGCTAAAGTGTATTTAATAATGAGTTCAACTGGGTTGTTAAAGAGCTGAACTGGAATGAAAACCTGCAGACACATCAGTCCTCCTGGATAGGAGCAGGACACTCCTGCCCCAAACCAAATCCAAACCGACTAGATGAGAACATTGTGGCTTTATCACAGTAGGGACCATTCTGAGGAAACGGCACCGCCTTTGTTGTCTCACTGGCTTGAAGGATACAGACTCATCCCTAATCTCTAAACTGGGGCAGGCTGAGCAAAGGTTGCCATGAAATGTAGGTGTGTTCTTCAGTGCAAACCTCACAGGAGCTGGATAGTGGCTCAGGCTAGGCCCTGCGTTTGCTTGCGCAGGTATCAGACACCTGATTAAGCAAGTTGACTGTACAAATAAAATACAGGGGGATCCAGCTGGTGTCATGGCCTGCTGTGCTGAGACAATGCTTTATTAGGACTCAGGCTATATATTTTATAGCGGGTATACAGATCTTAAAAAGAACACTCATTTGCTTTAGACCTTTCCTAATATGAAAAATCAGTTTAAATCTAGAAAACAGCAGCTTATCGAAATGATGGATTGTGATGATGCTTTTAAAGAATCGTAAACTGTTACTTGAAAACAACACAACAGAAACGATTGCCTAATGCACAGGTATATGAATATCTATTTAAATGTACAATAATTTGATTAAAAATGCCCTGCAGTATCAGTTAACATTCTTACTGTTTCAACAATTGATTAAATTAAGACAACTGAGCTGATGAATGTACCTATATCAGCTGATAGCTGAAGACATAGACTAATAATTTCACTTATCTTACAATTCTTTCTTTTCTTCCATAATCTTCCTTTAAACCTAGATAGTGTCTGTTTGATTGAGATACATTTT